ACAGCACATATGCAACTTGCGAGCGTTCTAAGCAAATATGAAGTGGCTGTATGTAGCTCGTTAACGCAGTGCATCATATTTGGCTGGCGGTGTAAATTTACTCTGTGGAAAGTTTTTGTTTTTCTGCTTTTTTTCTTCTTCTTCTTCTTCTTCTTCTTCTTCTTCTTCTTCTTCTCTTCCTTCAGCTATGGCTTGTGGCAATTGTGTCAGCAGCTGATGCTATCGCATTGTGGCTGCTGTTGGTTTGCGGCTTGGCTCATCTTTTATTAATGCAACTTAACGCTTCTACACTTAAGTATTTACTGCAGTTGACTAAAACCTTCCGAAGATTTGACTTGTATTTTTTAAATTCTTGTCAAGGACTCATTTTTATTAGTGCAACGACGTCATTCATACATACATTTTTGCATATTTACACTCTTATTGCTGTGAGCTCATTTTTATTGGGTTATTTGTATTATTATTATTATTTTTTATTGTTTTTTTTTTTTTTTTGCCAAAAAACACTTTATTTTGTAATTTATTTTATTTCTATTTGGCACTTTGTTAACCGAGCTCCTCTTCCAATTGTGTGCGTCTTGATGTTTTACCCTATAGTTTATACTAAACCACCTCCGAACGACTGATGGATTTCTATGAGAAGTATGTGGCATTCCCTGAAGAGATGCGACCGCGATTAGATAAATCAACTTGATTATTTTAATTAAATTAATTTTTCATAATTTTTTAATATTGGAACTGACCTTCCAAACAGATAGAAAAGTCTCCTGTTCCACCATTGTTGGAAGTAAGAAAGAAGAAAATATCAAATTTAATGTATTTCCTTTTTTTTTAATATTATTTTCATATTTGGAAAATCGGTTGCATAAAGGGCTATATGACAGAGTCCTCCAATTTCGAAGATTTTCACTGACTATATTTTTTTGTAGGTATGATAGGTTTATTTTTGGCGATGTTTTGATCAAATCATCTTATCTGAGACATCGATATATGGGAGCTATATGTTATAGAAGACCGATTTCGATTCTTTCATATCATCATATGTGTACAGAAATGCCATATTGTTAAATTCATTAACCAAAATATAAATACAAATATTTTCTTTAATAAATAATACGATTTATAAATTTATTTATCGTCACTAGATGTCATTTGCTATATGCAAAATAGGCTTTTAGTAGTATGAATTTCTCCACTAATTTAAAAATGCAGAGGAAAAGGCATGAGCTGAACTACAACGCGATAACAATAGATATATGCACACGTACATACGTATTTATGTAAATGCATAGAAATGCAAAAATATAAATAAATAAATTCAATGCTTATATAAAGAGAATTTCAATAAAAAATACTCGTATAAATTTAATTTCCACTCATTCACGCGCTGTTACCTCCTCTTGAGCACACATTCACACATTTTCACGCTGCTACCAAGCATGTGTACACGTATATATGAACCATGTTGATGGATTACTATCATCGACTATTTTTGTTTGTTTTTTTTTTTTACATTTCACATTTTTTTTTTTCTGCACTCGCATGGAAAATGCGTCGGAAAATTGCATTGACCCACTTTGCCATTTGTCAATTTCCAGTTGGCAACGTTGCTAGCGAAGGCACCTACACGAGTGTTTAAACTGTATATATCTACATACATATGTATATACACCACGTATGTGAGTAGAGAATATAAATAACTATTGCAAATTGGTTGTTAGAGTTGCCGGATGAAGTAAGAAGTATTTTATTAAATTAAAGATGAAAACCTATAAAAATGATAATTTTGGTATTAATTCACAAAATGCAATAATATTTGAACTGCATTTTGTACATTTTACTTCGCATGGCACTAAGGAATATATACAGCGATTATTTTTAGACTATTATACGTGACTGAAAAATAATCACCTATTTTTGAAATTATTTTATGATTTTTTTTTTTTTTTTTTTTTTTTTTTTTTTTTTTTTTTTTGCTTTTGTTGTTGGTGTTGTTGTTGTAGCGAATAGATTAGGGCCGCCTAGGAGGAAGCAAACTTAGTCGAAAGTCGTCGAGATCATCTAGTGGAAGCTCCAGAAGGAGGCAAAAGTAGTCATAAGTCATCAGTATCATCTAATGGGAGGGCCAGGAAACGGCTCGCTTCGACGGGCGCGGACCTGAAGAAGAGATGTGTTAGATGAGTTGTTTTAGAGGGTGATACCAAGAGGGGATTTTGTATCATACAAGGGGACTCATTGCAAGCAGGACAGGCATGCATGTCAGGTCAATTCTGGATAGGTAGGAGTTTAATCGGGTTTATTAGTATCCACATCTTAATTGTGCTACTCAAATTCTTTCTACAACTGCAGTGTGTGCTGCCATCTTTAATTGCACCTGATTCAGCACTTCTTTCCACACCTTACTTACTGATTTCTCATTTCATTTGCTATCCATTTTAGTTTTTTCTTCTTCTTATTTTCATATGCATCTTCTGCTTCACATAAGAGAATATAAGAGAAATTTCCTTTAAGTTTTCATTGTACTAATGTGTCGCCATTCGCAAGTTTTCTTCTATTTTTTTCTTCCATTTACTGCCTTTATTGCCCTTTGTTAAACTTGCATGTATGCATTGTGAGCGTGTGTATTGTGTTGTTACACTTTTTACATCGTAAATTACAATGTCATACTGACAAACTGTTGATTCCAACGCTACACTGCCACACTCGGGATATTTATGATGTGTCGCTGGTCGTTTTCTGTCTTGCCATGCTTTTGGTGAAATGGTATGATTTTATGCCAACGCATTCAACACCGCTGGTTGGTGTATTATGTTGACAGCAACGATATTTTAATGACTGACAACAACACATCAGTCACTGACAGTTGACAGTTTTCTCATATAAATAAGTACATTGAAATGTGTAAGTGAAACAAATTTATGTAGCTGCCCTGCAGTGAAAAGTTGATCTAGTATGGAGAAAGCCAGGTTTTAGCTAGTAATGTAAACCATACCAGTTTGCAATATGTATTTGTATATTGCTTCTGGCCGAACTGACCGAACCCACACTTTTCATGTACTCGGGCTAGGTTACTGCTCATCCCTGACTCGTATGTGGTTGATTCGAGTATTTGAATTTTTTTTATGAAAATAATAATTCAGCATGCCTAAATGAACTAGGATTTTACTAGTATGATGCTGATGCCTGTTTAGACAATTGATATTTCCGGGTATAGTACGTTTTATGATTGAAAAATAATTAAAAAAAAAAACGTAATTGGTTAAAAATGAATGCTCCTAGCATATCAATAATTGGTACTTCTTTCCCTGCAGGGCACATGTATGCCCACCCGCATACCTACCGAGTCTGCTCAACCATCCTATTGTTGTCTTAATGAATTAGTATGGTTTCGTATAACATATCGTTGTTACTTTTTGCAATGTGTTGACAATAGTGTGCATCAAGACGGAATAATGTTGAAGGAAAAAATATTTACTTGTCTTTGTCATCCTTTATTTGAGAAAAACGTAAAGAAAGTATATTGTAAATTACCATATAATAACTTTTTACTGGAGAAAATTTCCAGCGACTAAAAATAATTACTGCTTTAAAATGTGCTCGTACTCCTTAAGTTGATGTTGGTATATAATCTTAAAAGCGCTTTTCAACCGTTTTTTAGCATCTCAGTTATCGTTTCAGAAAATCAAGTCTGTTTTGTACACTTCTGAACGAGATTTGATATTATTAATAAGAATTTGGAACTACAATACTTTTTGAGTTTTAAGAAGTTTAGTTTTTTCATAGAAGCTTCGAAAGGTTTGTTGGTTGGTTAGGTGAAGTGCATCAGCTCATCACTTAGCCTACCAAACGTACAAGGATCCTAACGACCCCCACCCGCTAATCAAACTGATGTGTGAAGTTTGCCAAATTGAGTACCTTGTTCTGTTCAGTCATTGATACTTGTCCATCTTGAGCTAGCATCTTTGATGAATAACTCTTCAATAATGAGCTTAAATGTGGAGAGTGGCATGCCCAAACTTTTACGCGTTGGCGAAAGTTAAAGGGAAGTGCCCTTCCTTGCAAGCTCGCACGCCATCTCATTGCCCGGTATTGCAATTATTTGCCGGTAGATGGCGCGAATGTTGAATGTTTGAAAAGTTGAAAATTGCTGAAATATTTCAAAAATTTATTTGCCGGTATGTGGCGCAAAAGTCGTAGGATGTTGGAGACTTTTGTTTGCTGCGTGATTTCTATTTTATAAAAAATGGATATATACGTATTTATGTATATTTAATTTGAAATAAGACAAATAGTTTTTGCTAGGGTCAAGTAAGAGAAAAGTACTTTCTTTTTTTGGAAAATATTAGTTTAGAATGAAACAAATACAATTTCTTCACATTTTATTAATGAATTTATTAGATTTATATAACACAGCAACGGTTCAGACGAAAGGTCTGTATTTCAAATGATTTCCCATACGAATTCGTACTCTCTAATCTTCACTAGGTGAAGTATTTTCTCGATAGCTCCACCGGCTTTCAGATTATAGAGATTCAAAATATTAATTAAAATAAGTTCTTATTTGCTTTGTTTTGTTTCGTTTTTTTTCTTAATTTATTACAAAACTCCCATAAATATTTTAATCAAAATTTATAACAAATTATATATATACGCCCTATGAAAAAAAAATTAAATAAAAAATTTCACCCTAAAAACTAATCAGCATTTATTAAGTGTGCTTTATTCAAAAAACCGTTAACACCAATTTTGAAGAAAAAAAAAATACGCATGTTGTTTCAGTTAGCTTGTTGTTGCTGTAGTTGTGCAAACACGTTCACCCATTACATAATTATATATTTCATTTATACAATTTTACAATACAACCGATTCGGCTTTACACGTACATAAATATGTATAAAACTTAAGCAAAGGTGTTACTTTCGTTTGCATAAATGTTGTTGCGCACACACGCACATGTAAGTATGACGAAAGAAATCCAAAAAATAATGAAACCGTTGCAGCTAATCAATTAAGACTGAAGCTGAAATCGCTAAAAAGCTGTGAACCAAAATGTATGTAAATAACAGTTAAAAAGTGAGTAAAAACAAAGAAATATTAAAAACAAAAAAAAAAGAAAACAGCAACAATTTCAACACGCACACATGCACGCCTTAATAATGTTACCGCACAATGTCCAGAGCGCTGGGCGACGACGACAACAACACCATCATCATCAAGAGCAACAACAACAACATCGCCATCATCACCAACACCACATCAACTAAATCAGCACAAAACACGCAACAACAGAGTGCCGCAAACACAGCTATAATTACAACAATAAACACTTGTCAACAGCATGCCAGCATGAGCAATACGACAGCGGCAACAGCAACTGTTGCTGTTATTGCAGCAAATGCAAGTACAATAACAACAACCACACGCCACACTAACCACATGCATAACCAACATCATAATCAGCATCATCATCAACAACAACAACAACAACAACAGCAGCAGCACCAGCAGCAACAGCAATTTTGTACGCCAATTAATGTGGTTGATGGAAATTCTGCCGCCTCGCGGCAGTTGCAAGAGCACTCAGCAATGTTCATGCCATCACTACAACAGCAACAGTATGCTCCTGCTAGTAGCAGCAGCAACGTTGCTGGCAGCAATGCCTCGAGCAGCCATTTTGTTTGTTATTTACCCGTTTTAAAGCCCGATGTTGTGCTCAGTGATCGTGGTCTGTTTACCGTTTATTGTTTTGTCAAAGATTTCGTTAGGTAAGTACAATACTCAAATAATCAAATTATGTTATAAGAGCACACACTGCTTACTTTGGTACTGTTATATGCGAAATTATATTTGCGGTTGTGCTCGTATGAATCGCTTTTATTGTTGTTGCTATTGTTACATAAGTTTTGCTTAATACATATGTACATATATGGTTTTAAATCAACACAATTACATTCGCTTATACTTCCATAAGTTTCTAAACTTGTTGTGATTAAAAAATATGTCTAACTAACTTCGATTCATTCAAAACTCAACCCCATATCTTAAGGGTAGTAAAATTCGTCTAGTTATTTTTTTTTTTTTTTTTTTTTTTTTTTTTTTTTTTTTTTTGTTTTTGTGTACACATTCAATAAAAATAACTGTAAATTATTAATTATTTCCGGGTGAAAACTGGTCGCTTCTCTTTCATTCATTGGATTTCTTCCAAAAATACTTTCGTACAAAACAAAATTAGTGATTTCATTTCTTTAGAAAAACAAATAATTTTTTGTTCCCGCATTTTAAAAATTTCCCAATTGGAAATATTTTATCAAAAGATTTTTAATTTTTTTTTTATTTCAAATCGTCCTTACATATTTATATGATATTTACGTGCAAGAATCGAGTTTTCTACTCAATTTTAAATTTAATTATCCACCATTTCTCTTAAAACTATTTGTATCCATTTTTATTTATATTTAGCAGAATATAAATTTTTTGGATTATGCCAACATTAACATTATCTAAGTCAAAATACTGAGTTTCTAGCCAATTATTGGTATAAGTGGCTCACTTCTTCGCTGCTCAAAGTCTTTAACTAAAAAATAAATAATGAATGAATGCCTCGTAGTAAGCCAAAGGCACCATTTGAATAAATGCTCATTTGCACTCGAATTGAATGTATAAAAATGGCTTGTTACCAAGAGCCGCAGAATACCAGCAATGTAAAGCGATGACTCATATCATTCGGTGATCCCCTTCCCGCAAAGAAAGTATAAATTATATTTTCAACAAACACTCCATATATAAGATCTTTTCGCATAGCTCCATCTCTGATCCACCTATAACAGAGAAGGGTAGTCTTTCTGTTAATCTAGGTAAAAAGCCATCTGCACCATAATTAGGATTTTTTCGAATAAGTCGGTCCTGGTTCACTTCCCTAAATAATTTTTTCATTCAAACATTTCTGCCGGAATTTCAAGTCCGTCGGTCAGTAACTTAAAGATTTACGGAAAACTAAAAAACAAATTATAAATATATGTAATGTATATGTAGATGCAGTTAATTTTTTTTTAGTAAGAAAATACGGTACTTCTTTTTTTTTTTTTGATATAATTTTTTTTTTTCGAATAAAAACGACGTTCACTAATGAAATTCTTGATTTTTATTATTTTTTGTTTTTTTTTTTTTTTTTGAACTTTAATAATTTTTAGTTTTTACATTTGATTTTTTCTTTGATATTTAAGATTTTTGTTAAAAAAGACAAAAAAAAAATTAAAATTTTTGCACGAAAAACATCGTAACTTTGTTTAAATTGGAACTAAGTTTTGTTTAATTTTAGTTATTTTCTTCAGGAAATTCCACGACAATAATTAAACTGAAATGCAAAAATTATTTAGTATTAAACAGTAGTGCAAATTTGAAATTAGATTTTGAATTGGAGAACTATTTTGATTATTTTTTTTTTTATTTATTTTTTATATATGCTACGTTCCTTTAACTTTTTAATATGTTAGCCAATATTTTTTATTTTTTTATTATTATTATTATTATTATTATTATTATTATTATTATTATTATTATTATTATTATTATTATTATTATTNTTTTTTTTTTTTTTTTTTTTTTTTTTTTTTTTTTTTTTTGAATATCGTGACTACTCAGCACACATTTATTTCAATTGTTTACCTTTACTCAAAAGAAATCCTAAATATATAATTTTTCCAGTCTTTACGCAAACCATTTCCATCTGTTAATAATCACTTTTGTTAAACACCCTGTACTCAAACAATTAGTAGACAAGGCTGGCATATTGAAAACAGTGAAAAAATATGACTACACAATCGAAAAATATATAAATGAAAATGTCAACAAAGATAACGAAGTGACTCCACAGTCATATACATACTTACGTACATATGTACATATAAATATATGAGTATTTAACAGCAGACGCTTGAATAGCATCTGTACCTTATCAAATTCTTCATGCATATACCTACATATGTATGTACATACTCTTTATATATATATATATATATAAGAATTGTGTGTATTTTATTAAAAATATTATCATTTTTACTCTTGTTACGTTTGCTGTGCTCCTGTTATTCTACCACTAGTATCACCTGTTTTTTCAGTGGTTTGATAATAGAAATAGCACAGCACTTCTTTTCTCTGCCACAGCACAGTTAACAAATACATTTTTCAGTTGTGCTATCAAAACGCAGGAACATGTAAGTGTTTTTCCCTCAACTTCAGAAATAATAATAAAAAAAAATCGTATAAAACAGTAACATGTTTCCTCTGAGCAGTTTTTGCGAAATAGTCGATTTTTTTTTTGTGTGCTGTCGCTGCTACATACATACCATATGATATAGCATACACATAGAGTATCCCTTAAGCGCGCTGTTTAGCAAGTGCCTCCGTGGCGCAATTGGCTAGCGCGTTCGGCTGTTAACCGAAAGGTTGGTGGTTCGAGCCCACCCGGGGGCGGTTAATTTTTTTTATATATATATATTTTTTTATTATTTATTATATTTTGATGAAGAAATTTATTAATTAATATGATAATTATTTAAAATCATATCGCTACTTTTGGGGTTAGCACCACAATAATGAAAGTCATAATAAATTTTAACTATTATTGTTTTTTGTATTCAATGACAACTTACTTTTAATGATTTAGACAGAATTTTAAAAAATACTGCAAAAAAAATGTCAGTATGTTTTTTATTTTCTTATTATTTTTTATATTTTTTGTTACTATATTCATTATTCACTGTCACATTTTTGTTTCATATTTCCCGCACCATTCACTACTATGCTTATGCACACTTAAGTTGAAGTTATAAAAAAAGCTTGGAACCCGCAATCGCAGAAGCGAGCATATCTTCCAAGTCATTAATTTTTGTCAATCTTTCGATCATCCCTCACCCGTAAAGAAAGTATATATTATATTTCGAGCAATTCGAAATTGTTCCCAGGTTCCTGAACCAATTTCAGGAAGTAAATGTGTTCCATTTTGGTATATCAATCCATTTATAGGATGTAAATAGATCGATTTGCTTCCCGAAAAAAAATAGTTTCTGGTAAAAATAACTATAAATACGGATTTTCAACAAAATGCCACATATATACTGAATTTCAAGCAGATTGAAACATAACTAATCACAACTACACTTTCCGGAGAGAAAAGTAGTTCTCCTTATAAACTAAGCAAAAGACCTGTAATGTACCGAGTTCCAATTTTTTCAAATAAGTTAATACCTGGTCCACTTCTCGCTGAGCAAAGTAGTCAAATGATCACTACATTTTTATATATTGAATGAGTGCATAAGTTCGTGCCCGATCTCAAGTGAAGTGAGCCCGATCAAAATTGAAATTATTTGAAGAAAGCGCTTTTAATAATCAATTATGTATTCGCCAACGTTCAACCCATTTACGGATGCCTGATTTATAGAAATCGCGCGGTTTCTCGTTGAAAAAGGTGTCAAGGTGGTTTATGACGAAACAAATGATAATCAGAAGGAGCAATGTCGAGTGAATATGGGGGATGCGGCATGATTTCCCAATTTATCTCCTTCGGTTTGGCCAGGGTCGGTTTTGCAACATGTGGCCTGGCGTTGTCATGATGGAAAAGAACTCCTTTGCGATTGGCCAAACTCGGCGTTTTTCATCAATTGCTTTCTTCAATTCGAGCAATTGCTGACAACACTTGTGGGCAGTGATCATTTCTCCAGCTGGCAAGAGCTCAAAATAGATCACGCCTCGGATATCCCACCAAATGCACAGCAGTACCTTCATCGGATGCAATCCACCTTTCGACATCGGTTCCGCCCCTTCGTGTGCCTGTTTCCATGTTCTTTTGCGTTGAACATTGTTGTACAGGATCCATTTTTCATCACCAGTCACGAGCCGATCCAAAAAAGGTTCGTTTTTGATCCGTCGAAGCAAAGAAATTGCTGTTGACATACGGTCCACTTTGTTTTTTTCACTCAACTGATGTGGCACCCATGTATCGAGCTTCAAAGTGTACCCAACCTTTTTTAAACGACGAAACGCAGTTGATTTGTTGACGTTCAATTCACTGGCAACCTCTTCCGTCGAAATACGTGAGTTATTCGCAACTAAAGTCCTTAGAACATCGTCATCAAGCTCAGAAGGCCGTCCACTGCGAGGTTGATCTTCGAGGTTAAAATCTCCAGAACGAAATTTCGCGAACCATTTCTTTACTGTGCGGAGTGCTGGAGCACGGTCCAAATAAACTTCGCGAATATCTTTAGTTGCAGCGCCTACTGTTTTTCCTTTGCGGAATTCGTATAACATAATATGACGCATATGATCTTTTTCGTTGTCCATCTTCCATGCGTCTTTTCACTAAGCAACTCAAATCAAAATGAAGTTATTTTATGCTTGATTTACAGTTCGGACTGTCACCTTTCCAACGATATATAATATGTATATATTTCTTTCACGAGCGCCACTCTCAAACGATTCGAACGGCATCCAGCGGAATCGGGCACGAACTTATGCACTCATCCAATACATATGTATGTATATATATTTAATTTTAAAATTTCTTTTTCTGGACATAATCACAACTGCCGCAAATTAGTGCTGTTACAGTCATCATACCTCGTGGCATATGGGAAATGAATAATAAATAAAATCTAAACATCAATCACCCATCAATCGAGAAAAAAAACCATTTTTACCCACTGACTCAACTTAATTCTCATGACTTGTCTAATTATTTCGACCACCAAGCGTGCAACGGCAATGCATTCACATTCACAATTAAATTTCAACACTTCTAGGGAATAATGTTTTAAATAAACAAAAGCGCACACAACGCATTTTAACTATCAATTAACCTCTGACGGCGGCGTTTTTCACAAATGACAAAGCCAACAGCAACAACAACAAGCACATAATTATTATGCCACATTGCAATTTCGAAAAAAAAAATTCACGGAAATAAAAATTAAAATGAAAATGCGTCACAAACACACACACACACTGAAAATACAAATAAATGTCTAAAGCCATTTGCAGATACTCAAATGGAAAAGCACACAATAAATAAATAAATAAATCCAATTTGCACTAGACTAAACAAAGTTGAGGGAAAATTGTTCATTATGCGCTTGAGTTGTTGTAAAGATTTAATGGCGGCACGCGAAGTGTGTGCAAAGATATTTCAACGAATTTTTAGTGAAGTTATGCTCTATTGTTGACCATGTGAAAAATTCTATTGAAAAAATTTAAATTTTAACCTGAAATTTGCGGCACATTTCAATGGGTTAATTATTTTGCACAATGCAAAGTTGTACTGCTGTTGCGTGTTGATGGCCGAAGGTCAAAGCCTCACTAGTATTAGAACTTATGTGAAATACCCTGATGGTTATTGGAAAACAATGTTTATTGAAACTTAATTGCTTCCTTGAATTTTTTTGTTCGAATATTAAACAGAGTGATTTTCATTTATTTTATGAAATTAAAATTAAATTTTATTAATCAATTTTTTAAGTGTTTAAAAATTCCAATCGATTCAGTTGAATCATTTGGAAATTTTATCGTCGAAGCAGTTATCAAAATAAATGTTATTTCGTCTTTACACGAAACTTAATGCTATCGGTAATGTTAAATCATTAATAACAGACTATGTTAAATGGTAAAATTTATGTGCTCTGTTAATAGCATAGAAAGCAGCTTTTAAAACTTAACGTTAACGATGAAACGGCTAAATTCAACATTAACAATTTCATTTCGTTCCGATAACATGGCGGCGAAACGAAACGAAATCATTTCTCCAAGTTCATTTTTCATATCTCTTGTTTCAACACAGATTTTCACAGACTTTTCTGTCTTAGGTAGTATTTTTATCAACTATTTTTTCTTTCCCTTCAATCCATTTTAAATATTTTGCGAATTCCACAAATATGAAAGACAAAAACATTTTCACTTTCCTTTTCGACAATTATCAAAAAAAGTGTGCTGAAATTCGAAATAAAAAATGTTAGACTGAAAAGAGAAACTAATTAAATGGAAAATGAGCACTTGTGTATTTCTTCACTAGCTTCCTGCCCCAAAATCAAATATAAATATTTAAAAATTAAAAGTACTTGACATTTAATGAAAATTAAAAAAAAAAATATTTTTGTTTAAAATCTTGTCAATTTTCTGCTGACTTAAAAATACACTACTATACATATATATATAATATATATTTATACATTTTATATACTCATTGGCTACATCCAAAAGGAATATCTTTCAGAGCAACCAGTGAATAAGCCAGTTGAGAATTTGGCAAGGAAATTAAAAAAATTTATTTATTTAATTAGAATTCTTCTATTTTCGAAACAAATATTGAATTCTAAATTTAAAATCTATTCCACAAAAATTTCGCTAAATTTTTGACAAGAGTGTAACGCAGAAACTACATTAAAAATTTTAATTTTAATAATAAGAAAGTATAGAATTCAAAAATTTCTAGAAATTTTGAATTATTTTTTGCTGAAATAAATATAAAAAAAAATTCTAAAATAATGGCATATTAAAATTTAAAAGTGCTTTAAAGTTTAAGCTCTTAATTTCTTATTATTACTATTTTATTTTCTTTTTCAAGGAAATAAAATTTAAATTAGAAAAACTTTTTTTCTTTTTTTTTTTGGGTTTTTATTGCAGAAAAGTCATGTAGTTGATAAATATTAAAATAATAAAAAAATTACAAGAAAAAATAAATAATTTTTTTTGCAAATTTAACACTGTTACAATAGAACAGCATAATATTGAGAATTTGTGGAATATTTTTAATTCAAAAATGGTTTGAATGTTTTGCAGAATAGATTTAGTGCTTGTAACTTGAAAGATAATTTTAAACTTTTTACAGTTAAAGTTGATTTGAAAGTTGGTTTCGTATTTTTTTAACAAAATGTAAATTTTCATTTCTACACTATTTAAATAATTTTAATACATTCATATGCATATTCACTTGAAATAATTTTAATTTATTATAAATGTTTTTATTTTCATTTTATTCTCGCTTTTAATTAATGTCGGTTTACGAAATTTTGTGATATATTTGCATGTTACATGTGTATGTAAATATTTTTGCTGCTGACTAGTTTTAGCTGCACTAAAAATTACGTAAAAGAGAAATAAATAAATATTTTTTTTTGTTCAAATTGTTCAAGTAATTAAAATTTATTTTTTTTGTTTTTCGCTTCATAAAATAAATAAAGCAATTACAAAAAAAAAATTAAAAAATCTCAACAAAAAAAATAAAAAAAATTCAACAAAAAAATTAAATAAAATTTTCATTCGAAAAGTTTGTCATATTTCTTTTTATTACAGGAAAGTCTGGCAAATATAAAAAGAATAAAAACAAATTATCTCCTTAAAAAAGTAGTTTTGAACCAAAAATGTTTTTGCAACCACAACTGCCAACAGCAACAGATATTGCCACCCACCGTTAGGTGTTCAAAAGTATATGACTTTATTTGGCTGCCATAAAATTTTGCTTTGTAAACATGTCGAGTGCACTTCGCTACGACTATTCTATTCTAAACACTCGCCGCCAGCCTGCCAGCCTGACCGTGTGCATTTATTCATCTAGCACATTCGTACGCTCTTCCGTCCGTTCGTCCGTGCTTTGATATTTGCCTGTAATGCTTTCATTACACACATACCGGTTGCCAATTACAAAGCGTCAATAGCAGACAGACGTTCGCTAGCGGATAGACCAACTGTTAGTTTTTTTTTTTTTTATCGGCAAACGGCGTTGCTGCTCATTGGTGTTTTGTTAGTGTTAGTGTTGGTGTTGGTGGTGGTGTCACTCAGTACCGGACGACAACCAATCATTGCCACTCAATTAGCGGCGGCAATCAAATGATGGCATAAGGGTGCGCAACAACAATAACAACAATAAACGCGAAGAAATCTAAATGTAAAGGAATTTTTACCCAGTCATTATATAAAAATAAGAAATATTTAAGAATGAATATGTGTGTATGTACATATGTATACGTGTATGTATGTATATACATATATAGAAATCTACATTTAAATTTATGCATTCGCTCCCGTTTTTGTCGTTATACTTTTTCTGTTGCCTTCTCGTCTACTTGTTGCATGGCATAGCGAATTTTCAAAGAGTTCATTGCTTGCTACTTAGCTACAATATAATCATGTGCGTGTGTATGCTTGTTTACAATGTCCACCACCGTCAAGTTTCTTCACAGCACATTCGCCGCCGCCAAGTGCAATCGATGGTGCAAAATTATTTGGCTTTTCTTGTGTGTTTTTCTTTTGTTTTGCTTGGCAATTTGCCAAATTTATTTCAACTTTGTTTATCGTTAATGACGTGCTTCTTGCTTTTCTTGTAAATTTCTACTTTTCAATTTGAACGAAATTGCCGATTACGTTAATTAATTACGTGCGCGCACACACGGCAAGTGAATTGTAAATTACTTATGTATATTTATACGTTTTTATGTAGTTTGTTTACGTGTTGACTTGTGGTACTTAATTTTAGTCGAAAGTATTGCTTAATTTACGCAAATGCTAAATTCATTCTAAATTTATTGTAATTTATTGAAAGTCTCTGTGTGTGACGTATGGTAAATTAAATGCCTTTGATAAAGGTAAACAAAGGCTGCATATTGAGCAGAATATTGAGGGAAAAAAATTAAAAAAAAATTATATGATATAATATATATTTTACATCTATAATTGTATTTATGAAATATCCATGAAAATATGAGTATTTTACTGTCTTACACATATACTATATAGAACATAAAATATTTAATTTTTATTCAAAACTAATTTAACATAAAAAAAATTTAAATTATTTTTAAACTCCTTTTCTAATGTGTTTAAAATGGGTTAAATAAATTTTTCACAGTATGTGTTAAATAAATTTAATTATATATTTTCCATATTAAAGAGTTTTAAACACTTTCCTATAAGCCTAAGCATTTTTATATACATATCTTGAGCTGTAGGTTTATACTTATTTAATCAAATTGTATTTAAACTGTGAATATTTTTTAAAATTTATAACCAAGTCTTCTTATTATTTTTTCAGGTAAGCAAATTTGCTACTAAATTATTGCAAATAATCGTAAGTACAAATACGAATTCGAAATATTAATATTTAAGTGCCATGTAATTATATATAGATTTGACTGGCCACACTTTAAAAGTTAGACAAAATGCATAGATTAATGAAATTTATGCTAAAAATTTGCGATCGTATTTGCATGAAAAAAAAATATATATAATATATTTACAATATATATGATACGAGATAGTTTCGAAATTTCTAGTTAGCCCTTCTGGTCAAAACTGGACGGACGAATAAAGAATTTCGTCGTTAGGAAGCAGCTCTGAGCTTGCAATTCCTTGCCAAACCCTAAATAACTAAGTGATCTTTTTTGCATCATCTTTTTAATACAAAATATCATCCTTCTATCGCCAATTAGGGTTATCCAGCATATTCTTATAAATCGCGAGATGCAAATCCCTAAAGCCATCTTTTGTAAAAAATAATGATACCTTTATGCTATACCAAACATTTGTTTAAAACTCACTGAAGAGGACCTCCTCAAGTGCTTTCAAACGAACGTCGCTACCACCGGCTTCATATATAAATGGAAAAAAGTGAATGGCTTGGGTCAGCAGATATGCCAATACATTCCTCTCTACCCCAAAATTTTAGTCGGTTGTTGGTGTGATAAATCATCCAACGTTCTTCTTGTACACCGAAATTTAAACATACATATACATATACCATTGGAAAAAAAATCCTGCCTCATGTTTTTCGGCAGCAGAAAAACGCGGTACCCTTCTAATCCTTATGAATCTTAAAACCAAAATAGGCATGCCAAAAAGGTGAAGCTTCGGACTTAAAATCGAAAAAATTCGAAAAGCGAATTTATAATTTTCTTTGTTTTTTTTTTTTTTTTGAATAGATCACGTATAAATCTATATATAGATTGCTAAAGCAAAAATCTGATTTCCCCATGCGCACCGTAGTATTAAAATCTGTGACCCATAACATTTTTATTTCCCTTCCACCAGGGAATAATTTTAACTCGAAATTTGATTTCCGCTTATTTGGTTTATCTAATGAAAAAATATCTATTTGGAACTATCTTCAACCGTTAACATTTAATGAGCCTGCTTGAGTATGATTAATTAACCACAGACACTCAATCAAGCCATAAGCGTGTTGTGATAAGAAATATAAACAAAATAAATTTATAAATACTGTGATAACTTATCACTAAAAAAGGTAATTTAATAATAATATTGTATATATTTTTTGATTAAAAATGTTTATGTTTATGCAGTCTGAAAGCCCTAAGTCAATATATATAATTAGTTCAGGGTATTAGAAGGGCTGGAAAAATACTCGACACGACAGGAAAAAAGAAAAACCAATGGATTAGTAAATATTGTGAAAAATATATATATTTAAACTCGAAGTTTATATATACATACATATTTAGTCAATTTAAGGAAATGCTCTCGCTTTAGTCACGCATACGCTCAGGTGGCTCTAATAAAATTTTATACGCACAATATTTTTGTAACAGCTTAAAAATTCAAAACTAGATACTCATATTATATATCATTGTAGGTAAATGTTTATCAAATGCCATTGTTAAATGCAATTTTGTGTTGAAATTTATTTTCTGAAATTCTACAAAACGTACAAATGCGATTCTAAATGATGCAATAAATTAACGATAGTATGTACATAGTATATTTGTTTTCCTGTTGCAGGTGGCCATTTTAATGGCTAATATGCACATACAATATAAGTAAATATAAAAATATGTTTATTTCAAGGCAATTTACATTGTGACAAAGTCAACAGAGTGTTAAAGAGTAGAGAATATAATAAGGTCATAAATATTTAGAATTTTACTTGTCTTGCTTAAAACTAGCACTATTGAGAATTTGTGGGTGTTTTTAATCTGCAATGGAAAATTACCCTAACTTGTCGCAAATTCCCATTTTTGTCTTTTAATTATGCCAAAAAAAAAAATATCTCGCATATGCTCTATACATTTAATAATATTTAGCTTTTCTCTTAAAATATATATTTTCGCTAAAAATGTCGTATATTATTTTAAAAGACAAATTTCTTCGTAAAATTGTTCGTATTTGCTAATATTGTAAATACTCTACATTTTCAATTAGCCATGGTCAAAGAATGTGCAAATTACATGTGAAAATCATCTTGAAAATTTGCTATAAATATGCTAAAGAAAACACATGTCTGTCTGTCCGTGCTAATTGGTTATGATGTGTACATTTTTTCGCACTGTTGGAGATTATAAGTGAATTAAATAAAGCAACTCATACGTAAATGGCCAATTTCAAAAAAAAAAAAAACCTTACCATGAAGGTCAACATTTTCATTGATTTTAAGTATTTTCGGTATTCCATTAGCTCAAACATTTTTTTTTATTTTTGTAAGTTTCTAAACGAATTAGAAACTTTGTCTATTTACCAGAGAATTATTATTATAATGGCATGAAATTGGTTTAAGTTTCCTATATATATATATATTTTTTTTTTTTTGTTATCAGCATTTATTTTGCTAAACAAGTCGTTCGATTTGCGTGTGACGTCAAATGCCTTGAATATATGTATTTTATTTATGTATTATGGAAACTTCCCTGTTATGTGACAATGTTTTATTGAAATGAGGTATTAATACTTTTAAAATTTATATGTTTCTCAGAGTGCAAATATTCCTAGAGCTGAAAGTTAAGATTACATGAAGAAGAAATTTTCATATTTGATTTGTAATCAGTCAGTTGATCTCCAATTAATTTAATTGTATTAAACAATTAAACGGTATGCGTACTTTTTCTTCATTTTCTCTTGAGTTGGCCAATATCTGACGATTCCGATAGTTTTTCAGTGCTTGGAAGCGTAGTGGTCAGCTGGTGAATGGTCTATACTACTATGTGATGGTTGCCTCAACACTTTCCAACCAAGCTACGTAAATTTTTGCCAGATCATCAAGATGTATGTGCGTTGTCTGGCGCTTTCATGATAAAACACATTTTCTATTGATCTTGTAATTGTTAACGGTGAAGCTGAAAACTGATCGTTTCGCTGGGTTGTGTTGTAGCACTTATATACTCAACACCACCTTGTTTGTCGTCAATGCGAACTTTGATGTAATTTGTAAAGGGTTACCGACTTTTGACAGTGAATTCTTTCGTTTCATATGCGTACTTCAAATTTAACATACTTTTCAGCGCCTGTCATAGATCGCTTTAGACATGGTCCGACATCTCCGTCAGCTTTGATATGAAAATTTCCTAAACGTAATCCGGTAAGCCACTCCTGTCTCAATGTTCTGAAATTTTGAGCGCCGTTTTTCCAGCACTTTTACACTTTTATCACAAAAGAAATGGTAATTTCTTCTGAAATTTTACTCATTTTGAAATAATAATATTTTTTCAAATAAATAACGATGAAAAGTACTGTTTCAGCTTTTAATTATGAAATAAGAGATCATTATCATCTAGTTACAAAAACCGTGGAGATTTTTTTAAAATTCTATGTGAGATTTCGTTTTTTTTTTATAGATCTCAAAGAGAGTTCATAGTTCACAACTCAGTAACAATGTCGGTTGACCTAATCAAAGACCCAAACCATTACCTGTGCCTCATAAATTTATAACACTAGCCGTGCTACTTGTTGTACCATATGCTGTTATAAACCCATTTTTTTAAGAGTTCACAGTAGTTCCTTCTCTCTTGAACACGGTCATGCTGCAGTCGTTCGTCGAGGGTTGTATTCAATGTGCTTCTACATTTTGTCACTACTTTTAAGGTAGTATTGTCGCACTGACAAATTGGCTGTCAGAATATTTTTTAATGGATTGGTTCGTGATTTAAGCTGCTATTCGGAGGTTTCCATGATTGCAGTAAGCTCTGCTTCGAAGAAGCATGGCGAAGAGTTAATCCCAGATACAATTATATCTTTGAGTTTCGAGCCAACGGGAAAGATGACTATGGTACCGTGACTTAGAACATTTAAACTCTCCCATACGTTCCTCACAGGAATTCTTGTGGAAATTGAGGAACAGAAATTCAATTTAGTATAGTCCAGAATATGGTTGAGAGATAGCATTTTTCCATATTTCGACTTCTCTCAGGATGAGTTGTGTGGAGTGCAATTGCGTTTCAGTTCGCTTGCAGTTTGGCGCTGAGGCGTAGGGGGGAAAAATATGAATAAAGCTTTTGTGGGTATCGAGAATGGGAATCCCGTTTTTTAAAATGGTTTCAAAATGAATGAATGAGGTTAAGCCGTTAGGAAAACCTATTTTTGATTCAAAGCTTAAACTTATAACGTTTTATTATAAAAGAAACGAATATTTATTTCTGATTAGTTTTCAAAATTTGTGAATGTAAAAAGGAAAGATAAAACTTATGCGATTGAAAGAATTTAGCTTGTCTTTTACCTCGTCTTCTTTTCTCAAAATCGGCACATTTTGATAGAGCTCTCTAGTAGTCGATCGGTGAAAATGATCTTTTTAAAATATTAAGGCCCGTCCACAAAAGAGCTTCGATAGAAAAAACAGATGCAGACAATGGTCACCACCCTAATACTGTCAATTAATTTTATTCTCTTTGCGGATTTCACTTCAATGCCTCTCAATCATATTATTGCAATTTTTAATTAAAACAATATTTTGCATTGCCTCAACTACATTTTATATTAATTGTCTAAATAAAAAATTACGATAGACAACTACTTTTATTACAACAAAAAAATCGTTAAGAGAAAAGTCAATAATAGCAACAAAACAAATAACAAACAAGTTTCTTTCTGATTAAACATTGCGATTAGATTGTTGCGATAAATGAGGAGAACCTTTGGCAAGCGAAAAGTTGCTCGGTGAGTAAAAGTGAGGACGAAAAAAGTTGAATATGAGCTTTTTTGAGATTTTTTTTTTTGCATGAAGAGGTGGCTGAGACAAAGGAGACTTGCTAATCATTTGTAAATAAGCAATTTAGCAAACATAGAGGTTTTATATACATATGTTATATGTAAGAGTTTGTGTGATTACATT